ACAAAAAAACATATAAAAAAAAAAAAAAAAAGGTTTTTGGGGGGGGGGGGGGACTCTTTGTACCACCAATTCACTGCAAATTGACTTGCTGTTAGGAATGCATTTTGTGTAAATATTGAATATACCTCTATTACAAGAACTAACTTTTTTTAAAAAAATACTTGCACAGTTGTTTGATACAAATGCACCATGGCCATTTCCTTGACCCAATATGCAATTTAGAAAGCTACTGATTCTAAAAACTCCTCCAAAAATACACCCCAAATTAATTAATTTATTATACAAATACAAATGACTAAGGTTAATATATGATAGAAATGGGAGAGGAGGAAGTTCAGAGAAGCCATTTTCTAGCTGGGGATAGCTACCACTACTTTTCCTTGTGTAACTCATCAGCGTAACTACAGATTTTCAATTCTTTGCAGAGTTTTCTGTCTACTTTAAAAATTCTTGATATATATGAGATATATTAACTCTATAGTAAGGACCATCATAAATCCTCTGACGGGGAAGAGAGAAGGAGGGTGAGGGGTCATCATAGTCTTAAAAACCTCGTTTACCCAGCCTATTTCCTTACACTCCATTTGCAGCAAATGGAAACAGATAAGCTCCTGAAAACGGCAACTTAAAGCAAGATCTTAAGTTACATGGTCTAAATGATGCTCTCAAGGAGTCTCTCCCTCTCTTTTCCTTTTATATAGGGTATAGCCAGCACATAAGCTAGCCAGCTAGCCTGCCTCAAAATTCTGGAGTATGAAAATTCCCCATCAGTTCCTTTATGGATTTCCACAATAGGAAATTGCACAATAAGGAAATTCCATTAATTCACTTCAAAGAGTATTTTTATAAATCCTTTTGAGAAGTAGAAACAAAAATGTTTTAATTGCACTATTGTGCCCAAGAAGTAGGGAGTATGAAAGCCCAAACCAGACAATTTTGATAGGCAATAAACTGTTCTGCAAGCTATACAGGAATTTCTCTATTTAGTTAGGATTCTATTAACAGGTTTTTAAAAACTGCTTCAAAGACTTTGCAGAACATCAATGAAATGTTTCTCACTAGAATTACAGGAACTATATGGATAAAATGGTCATATAAAAGATGGTCTGTATGTTCTCAACTGCTGAAGAAAGATGCTGATTGAAGGCTAGTTAGCCCTAATCTCAGAAAACAGGAATATAAACCTATTAGTCCATAGCAGTTATGTAAAATGTTATGGCAAAGGCCAAATGCAAGACTACTTGTGCATTTCATTTTTTGGTAGTAAATGATATTTTGGACCTGCTGGCTGAAAGCTTACGCATTTGTGGGACCTCCTGATGAGCCCGTGAGAGTACTACCTCAAGACAAGAGAGCAATCAGCAACATGGGTTAAGTTGCACTTTCTTTCAAACTGAAAGCACAACGCCACAAACAATTCATTGAAACTCCATTCATCTTCATTTTAACTGATGTTATTGTTGTCTCAGGTTTGCAAAGTTCAGAGCAATTATTTCACCTAATTGCAAGGATGCAGGAGTCCAAAGGAACAAATGAGTGTCTGGTAACAAAGACAACATGGCCTTCTTTATACGATGGGATTATGTGCACCATGCTGGGTGAAACTGTGGCATGACTTGGCCAATTTAGCCATCCAGTAGAGCGTGCACAGCAATATTGCGATCTATGGAGGGTGACTGTACAACTACCAGAACTAGCCTCCCACAGGGGCCTCCCACAATTTGATTTAGTTTAGGTATATTTCTATTAGCTTCACTTGGAAATATAGCACTGAAAAGGCTAATCAACATAAAATTTACACTTAAAGAAAAAAATCCAAGTGAATTACCACACCAAAAAAAAAAAACCAAACGAGTAGTGGTGACTGGGTAGGTGTTAACATCTCTCTCTCTCTCTCTCTCTCTCTCTCTCTTTTTAAGTGCAGACTGGACAGATAATAGGTGCTTTACATGAAGGGGAAAAAAAAAGTTAACTGGATAAATCTGGAGTTCTACCCACGTAAATTGTTTGCCTTATTCTGCCAAATAACTATAAGCTTGCTCAGTGTGCAGCAAATTGAGAATACCAGAGAAGACTCTGCTGAAATGAAGAAGCAGCAAAACATTGTTCAAAGTGGTATTCAGGCTTGACACAATGGACTGGGTTTGCAGGCAAACACCTCTTTCAGAAAACAATAATATTATCAGGATGGTATTTAGCTATGCTATTCAGTATCCCTGTCAGGAGCAGTGAGAACCACAAACCATTGCCATCAGCCTTGTCATGAGAAATTTTAATATTCTGACTACAGTTCTTATTTGCACCATTTACTGAACATCACAATAATTGCCTTCTGTCTGGTCAGGTCACTATTAAATTGTATACATAAAAGCCTAAAAATAATACCAGGAAAAATTAACATATACAAATAAAAAAGCTAATCTTGAGTTGGAAATTCAATAAGACACACTAAATAAATATTATCCTAGGATTAATTTATGTTTAGAGAATTTTAGCCTTGATACTATCTAATAAATTTCCAAGACTTTTATAGCCTATTCGTCTTCTTTGTATCTCCCTTGTGTGTATATTCTTAGATCTTGTTACCAATTTGTGATATGATCTAAAGCCAGCAAGATATTAACAATTCATTTGTTTTCTTTTGAAGAGATAGTATTTCCTTTGCATCCAGCCTCTCACTTTTTCCCTCAACTTTGGCTGCTTACTTTCAAGATTACTATACAATCATATAACTTACATTTAAAGAATTTCATAAAAATCCTACCTCTAGCATTATAACGTCAAAATTCAAGCATTCGAAGGTGCCTGGCTGAAGATGGTCTTAGCAACCTTAATTTTTGCCCTTAGGCATTCGCATTGGGCAATTCAAGAATGCATCATAAAGATATACATCAGGTCAATCTTGATATGTTTTTGGTCTGGAGATCTTATTTCCCCCATGTCTCCGAACACAAAGAGGAAACACATCAGGTCATGAACTGGAAAAGCTCTATTTCTTTTAAGTTTGATCCTTACTGGTGTGATAAAGGAGTTAGTTAAAACTGAACCAATTCATATGTTTAGAACAAAACACATTGTAGATATTCCCAGAAAAAAGGATGCTTTGATTACTCCTAAATCAAGCCTTAAAAGCCTAAAGTTAAGGTGATAGCAAAATTCAAATATTTTTACAAGGAAAATAGGTCACTAGCCCTAACTGTTATTACTGACAGCACACAATGTTACCGCAATGAAAACAGATGAGATTCAGCCCCTTTTTAGCCATTTTTGCCATTTAGGAGCTTATATTGTTACTTTAAAGAGTAACACTGTGTGTGTGGGGGGGGAGATTGGGTTTGTTTTGTTTTGTTTTGCCCTGTGCATTGCTGCATCTTCAGCTGCCTGCTTGTCCTCCCAGTACCAAGCTCCTTTGTGCCTGGATTTACAAACCGGGGTTGTTGTTTAACGCCAAGTCCCTGTGGCACCACCGCTCTGCACTGCGGACACCTGGCAATTTCTGAACACAATGGTCTCTGTCCCACACGTTACATTCTTGATTTTGAATGTGTCACCGCAAACACGATGCAAAGGCAGCATCTGTCAGAGTATTTCTAAAAACACTAAGCACCTACTTCGTTCTGCTTTGAAGCTGCAGCTTCTATACCCATATTATCAGTAGTCTGCAATGATTTTAGGCTACTCTGGAGCAAAAAGAGAGCAGCCAAGCAGCACAAAATTAGCTGGGTTTGGACTGAATACATCTGTTTTGTGTTATCAGGGCAGGGCAAAGCAATTGAAGCAGATGCTCTCCACTTCCTCTGCCTCTTAAACCTTTCATTTCTCTACGCGCGTTTCCTCCCTTCTACAGTTACTGCTCTGCCCGTTGCAGCCTCTGTCTCCACGAACCTTTCAGCTGAGGCGGCCTGACGCATAGGCTACCTTTTGGAAATAAACACACAGCCGGAGGGGTAAATACCATTTTAGCCTCCATAGGGAGCAGCTGGTACACAAGACCTCGCGGTGTGCCACCGCTGCCGGGCCGGGCGCGTGCCCCCTCCTCCCCCCAGTGCCGCCAGTCATTTTCACTAATGGTCTTGCACCATGTAATACACTTAATTCCTTTTATTAGTTGCTGTTCATAAGTTTTTTAAGGTCCATATTTTATACAATGCAATTAGTCTACCATGACAGATTTTTTAAAAAATGTGGGGCCTTATAGTACAGGCCTGGGTTAAACAGCTTTGCTGATAGATACTGAAGAACTTATAACCACTTTTAAAAAATTCTCACCACAAGGGTAATATTTTCTTAAAAGGTAGTCAGGGAAACCCTGGAATTAAGGCAGGGAAAGATCTTTTGGGGCCAGATTTGTACTGTAAACACAAAGCTCATGTATATACTCAGAAATCTAAGTTCATACAA